CTGAGCGCTGGCTGGGCTTCACACGTGACCTGGATCCCGACCAATCAGGATCAACGTGACATTTCAAACGATGGACCAGGAGACCTCAGCTGGTGCCAGTGAGTCTTCAGGGGACACATGAGACTGCTGGGTAGAAAACAGAGGGGCATACTGTAATCTCCAGCAGCCTGGACCTGGACCTGGACCTGGACCTGGACCTGGACCTGGACCTGGACCTGGACCTGGACCTGGACCTGGACCTGGACCTGGACCTGGACCTGGAGTCTTTGTTAGTGTGTTTTGTAGACGGAAGTACAGTCAGACCTTACCAACAGCAGGGGGCGCTGTACTGTACGTGAACCAGGTAACGCTGACGAGGTCAAACCAGAGCAGTGTGGGTGTAAAGGTAAGATAAGAAACATGTTCAAGGTAAGGGGCGAGGCCTCGACCGTGGTCCATTCAACTGTTTTATTGCAGTCTCACTGTTGTTTACAGTAAAACACAAAAGTCATGGCAGGTTACAGTAAATTATACTTCGATCAAAGTGTAGGTCCAGTGCAAAAGAAGAAACGTCCATCTTTACAGACAAAACATTCAAGAGTAAATATATGTATATGTATTTATATATTCTCAAACATACAAGGTCTTTATTATCTTAAAATAGAATCAAACACTAAGACACATGAACGCCACCTACAGTCAGAGCAGGGGCATCTCACAGTTCACACCCCACCGTCTGATGGTGGAACACTGACCCCTACAGTGTCGATGCTCACCCTGCACCAGTCTGTGTTGACGTTCTTCATGAAGCCTGAGACCAGGTGACGAGGACGGGGAGATGATGGGGGGGGCGGGGGTCACTGGTCTGTCTCTGTCTCATTAGTGAGGACAGAAGACGCACAAATGAGCGTCCCAGCAGCAGCTGCAGCTCACGGTCCGACAGGTTAACAGGACAACAGGTCAACAGGCCAACAGGACAACAGGACAACAGGGCAACAGGACAACAGGTCAACAGGCCAACAGGACAACAGGACAACAGGGCAACAGGACAACAGGTCAACAGGTCAAAAGGACAACGTCAGAGCGTCACCACAGACTGGAGCTGAGGTGAGCCCTCCACACAGCCATACCATAATACTTCATTTTAACAGGTGCCATTCTCCCTGACCTCTCCCTGACCTCCCCCTGACCTCTCCCTGACCCTGACCTCTCCCTGACCTCTCCCTGACCTCCCCCTGACCTCTCCCTGACCTCAGCAGGTTTCTGCAGGTTCTGAATGTGAACAAACTGATGAAAATGTTCTGTATTTTAGTCAGATTCCTGAGGGGGGAGGGAGGGGAGGGAGGGGAGAGGATGGGGATGGGTGTGGGGTAATAATAAAAAAAAAGATTCTACATTTCACATCATTTGACTCTTTGATCCCAGGTGAGACAGGTGAGACAGTTGTGCTGCGTCAGCAGGGGGAGCACTTTTCCAGCCTCCAGCTTTTCTGCTGCTGCCTGAGTAACGATTATCTCAACTGTGGATCCAGACCAGAGCAATGGATCCAAGAGAATCTGACCACGGTATCAACCTTCAGTCTTGGGTGGGGGGGTAATAATGGACTGGATAAGGCATCAAAGGTAGAATCCTGCACCAGAAAGGCAGACATCACTAGCTGATCCCAGAGTCCTCAGAGCTGCAGTCATTACCAGCTGAACAGGGAGTTCTGTCCCAGAGTCATGAAGTAAATCTGACTGCTGCCCCCTGACAGGACCGAGGCGAAGAACACCTGCAGCGGGGGGGGTACAGGTGTACTTTTATATACACATACATATATACACATACAACGTACTAGTACTACATACCAGTACTACATACTGTACTTGTTGTGTGATTACCTTGTCATTTCTCTCACACAGAAACTTCAGCTTTTGTGCTTTTTTGTGCATGAACACCCCCTCCAGGGTTCCTGTGTTGGCCGCCCTCAGCTCGATGGCCTTCTCCCCCCATCCCATCACCTGGTTGGACTGGAGGTAGGCTGGACACAGACAGGAGAGGAGTCTCTACTGGAACGCTGACCCAGTTACTGAACACAGAACCTTCTGTTCTATTTCAGTTTGTCCTAGAACCGTCTCTTATAGAATCTGGGTCAGGCCAAGTCCTCGGAGACCAGGTCTGTCCCCGATCTTCATCATGAGTCCCTTCTGGGACCTTCTACAGTGAACCTTATGTTGGAGCTCAGGTCAAACCCCACATCTGTGTGTGTGTGTGTGTGTGTGTGTGTGTGGAACTCACCGACCGACGCAGGCATCTCCCCCCACTGCAGCACCGTATCCTTGGTGATGCGTCCGTAGGTGTCGATGTAGACGCCTTCGTCTTCGTAACAGACCAGAACCTCCGTTCCAGCGCTGTTTGGCAGAACGATGATGGCGTGCGGATGAATGGAGCCGTGGATCTGAAACCGGGAGAGTCATGTGAGTCGGGTGAAGAACTTTGTATCAGAACACGTTCAGTCTGAAGGTTCTACAGTAACGTGACACTTCAGCACCAAGGACAGAGGCAGGAAACACGAGAGAGCGACAACACCAGCACAGACTGAACCGTCAGGGTCCACAGCACTCGGGTCTGGACCGGTCCGGACCGGTCTGACCCCGTCCCCCAGTCAGTACTTTACCAGAGTCTGAGCCACAACGATCCTGAGCACCAGAACCGGCATCCACAGACGCAGCGCGATCTTAATCCTCTGCCTCGGAATCAGCATGGTTACAACGTTAGCAGGAACTGGAGACCAGGCTGTGTGTGTGTGTGTGTGTGTGTGTGTGTGCGTGTGTGGGTGAGGATCATCAACGGCTTTTAGAACTGACAACAGGTATGAGTGTTTTGGTTTGAAGGTGTTCTACTGCTGATGTCTGCGTGTGTGTGTGTGATGTTGTGTAAAGCAAGTCCAAAAGTACTTGTGTGTGAGCGTGTGTGTGTGTGTGTCTAAGAAAACAGAAGGAGAAATCCTGGCAGCGTCTGCAGATCCTCAGAGTGAGAGGAAGAAAAATGATGAGAGGAGGAGGAGCAGGAGGAGAAGAGGAGCAGAGACAGTTCAACCAGAGGAAAAATGAGGAGGGAAAACTCAACAGGATCAAGATTAGGTCAGGACACACACACACACACACACGGTGTAGTAGGAGGGTTGTATTTTTACCCTCCCTCTCTCTCTCTCTCTCCTGTCACTCCTGCTCCTCCTCATTAGTCTCAGTGGGTGAAGACAAGTGTAAAGGACATGGACTGTTTCTGTGCTTTGTTTAGAGCAGTGGTTCCCAAGCCGTGGCCCGCGGCTCATCAGACGTCACTGATCAAACTGTTCATTTACTGCTGATAATGTGTCTGTTTGTCCACACAGTGACAGGCGGAACAATTAAACACTAGTCCACTAGGTGGCAGCAGACAACCAAACAAACTAAAAAAAGAGAGAAACTCACAGTTGTTGAAGGAAATCTTCACCTGTTTGTTGTTTAAATTCCTTTAACAGTGTAGTGTTCAACTAAACAGGAGCAGGTTTCACACTGAGTTCAACCACTGGTGTTTAATAAACAGCTCTGATGATGATGATGATGATGACACACACACACACACACACACACACACCTCCTCTGACTCTGTTCCTGCAGCAGCAGCTGATGATGATGTTAGAAAGAACAGGAACTCATTCACAAAAACCTTTCTGTGAAAGTGAAAACTGACTTCATCACAGGATCAGAGGATCAGAGGATCAGAGGATCACAGATCAACTAATTACTCTCATTCGAACTAGTAATTAGGGTGAAAGAGGTTTTATTTTGAAAAATTTGGTTGTCAAAATAAAAGTCTTTGGAGAGCTTCATGTTTCAAGGTAAAACTACGTCAGACATCATTTTATTTTGACAGTCTGTCACCTTGACGACCGTTCAAAGTAAATGATGAACTGAAGAAACACAGCTGATATGAACACAGTACTGTGATGAAGTACTCTCTCCTCACTCATAACACCCCTCACTTTGGAGTACTCAGAAGTCCCAGTACTACTCAGAAGTCCTAGTACTACTCAGAAGTCCCAGTACTACTCAGAAGTCCTAGTACTACT